CTCTTTCAAATGAACCCATTTCGTAAGTAAAAGATAAATGCATTTTGAAAGTACAGGCAGAGAGAAGGCATATTGTAAGCAAGGTTTAATGTGTGTTTAGATGCTTGTTAGTGACTTGATCAAGAAAACTAACTTGGTGGAGGTGGACATGAAATAGCGTTACCACAACAGGAGGCACAGGATTTTTTCACCCATTGAACTGTAGACAGAGAATATTTACATCCAAATATCTTAAATAGACAAAATAGTTACAAGGCAAACATAGAATCAAAGTATGTCTAGTAGAAACAGATTTTAAAAAGAACTTACATACCTACTTCAGCAAAATGGAAGCAGGACAAACACAAGTTGTGAATAGTTTTCACAGCAGTGTTACAATGAACTCTATCGCGATCGTAATGTACCGGCAAGTCTGGCTTAGTAACGGTAATAATGACCTCAGACCAGCCCACGTGCTTCGAAGGATTGAAGATACAATCGCATACGACTCTATTTTGAATAGAAACAACAAGTTTGAGAAAACACCACTTTTCACAAATTGTCAAGTCCAAAACCAGATTGATAATATTCAGTTATTTATGTCGAAATTCAATTTGTAATGTCAGGGACAGCTTATGTCACGAGGTTAGGTTCCAAGTATTTGCATTTAATTATTCGACTGTTAAATCGAGCCATAATTTAATTCGAGTAATTTTATTAAACATGTTTATCTGTACTCCAGAAACGGGTGACCCTAAAACTCCTTTGTTAGCAAAATATATTAAACGAATTGCGGTTAACTGAGCTCATTTCCCTAAATTGAGCTATGATTCCGGTAGCAGGCAATATACATATTTCAATTACCAAGTGTTATTTTTTGGTTCATGACGTTATTGTTAATAAGTATACATCATTTTAACATTCGTAAATGGACAGAATGATGTGTTGATAGTGTGACCCAAAAGACTAATGGAAGCTAGCAATTGCCACATGTCCATGTGGCCGTGATTGACGGTGATCTCAGTGAGGCCATAGATAGTCGACGACCTCTCTGATACGCTAGTTTTGGTAGGAATCACACATTTCGTGTCATTGTGTAATGTTTTTATTATAAAGCCAGATAGCATCTGATGCGGCCGCGTTATGCCGTTGATCGTAATCTCATGTTCGGTTAAATTGAACATATTTTTTGAGTAATTGAAAGCGCGCTATCGATCACTGCTTATTCGACCTTTGTTGGATCAAAAAAACAATATGGATAATTTTAGACCTGAGCGCCGCGAGCAAAAAGGCGAGTAGGCCTATAATTTATTTGGATCTGTTATTAAAACGTGTGCTAAATGATAATTGTTATACAACGGATGAACTGAAGGACGCTGAACATAAACGAGACCGTGAGAGGAGTCCCACCTGCTTGTAAATCTTGTATGAATTATGTTATACAAACGGCTGAGAACAATAACTGTTTGTACAATGCCTACGACTGTACTCCGAACCTTTGAACGTGTTATAACATAGCTCCTGACAAACCTAAACAGTGTAATTACATGACACAGAGATTCACCGCGACTATAACTAGTGAGGCGGAAATATGTAATGTGTATGCAAAGAAGCCTGCTACGTGCCAAATATTAAATATGCATGTTATGAATGGCCATTGACCTTCATCTTTGTCATTGTAAAAATAAATAAAATGCTTCGTAACTAATCCTAGTCTAAGCCGCACCAAGTTTTGCTGGAAAAATTAAACAAGTTGCACCACAGTATTCCTTTCACACTGATATGTGAGTCCTTTGTAAACCAGTGGTGTCGTAACTGTTTTTCCTTTAGATTAGACACTCGTAATCAAAATGTAGCATTGCTTTTAACTGTACAATTAACAAAATCAAATCAGCACGCACCACTAATTTTGGCAACATCGTATCAAGGTTGTCTCCTGGCTCAGTATTTTCATTATCACGTTGACATCATAGCCCTCATATAGATACTATCTGGCATGGAAAACAGCTTATATTGTAGGCAGTAGAACAGGTCTGTTTCGCGGTCAAGGCAAACTCCTCGGGCGCAAGGTGCAACATCGTATCGCGTTGCAGCCACTTAACAGAGGTAACAGGAACCAGCCTTTACAAAGAATGGCTACTTTTACTTTGAGGACCTCACTGCCCACTGTCCTTGCTTAGAATCCGTTGCAGTTGGAATCGTGCATTGAGAAACTAGCGAGCCATAGATCGCTAATTGCCATTATCAATTCGCCGCAATATGGCATTTGAAAAGCATTTTTTACGTACTAATTTATTCAAGAAGATCCACTTTGAGTGATTGTTTTAATCAATCGTGACATTCCAATTGTAGTGACTGCATAATCGACACGATAACAATGGGAGCGTTATTTGGCGCGAAGGTGATGAAATTATAAAAGACCTAATTGATGGTAAACCGTTTTAGAAAAAATCAAGTTCGTAATTATGACTATTATGGAACTTTATCGTTCAAGGTTTGCAAAGTTGGAGATTATACAATGGCTTGGTGTACTAAATCATCGACAGTTAGTTATTCTTGGCTCGGTAATATAGTACCTATAAGCTTAGATAAGCACGCAACATTCGTAAAGCTTTCTCAGTAAGCAATTTTCCATAACAAAGATTTACAAAATTAGGTCACAATACCCACACAGGGCGCAGGGGCCCAAAAACTAATCCTATAGCGGAAATATTCCCGATTTAGGGATACCGTCAGGGATTATCCTCCCAGATTAGTAAAGCTATTCCACGAATTCCTGTCGTCAGTCGTACGGTTTCTTAAAGGAAAAAAGTAATTGATAACGAACAGCTTAGAAACAACTGGAAGGCAATTTATTCTAGATCGAATCCCCACCTGTCGTTTCGGCAATACGAGCATACGACTGGTATCATATCGGCCAAAATACTAAGACACTCCGTACTCCTTACATTCCTAATCTACAAGAAGTCGTTACTAGGAAATGTTCCAAGTTATTTGGTCTTGGCTCACTGGACGTTCAGACTAGTCGAGTTTGGCTATAAATCACCCTGCCCCGCCCCCGGCGATCTACCATTAAAGGTGATTAAAGTGTGCGCGAGAGCAGGATGGTCCAAATTATACGGTTTGGCCTCAGTTGCCCACAAAAATGTGGTCCGGTCATTATCCCGGATGAAACGTAGCTCGGAGCACGTGCGCTGGACCACATGTTGGCATGGGCACAGTGCAGGCCTTTTACAAAAATGACAATTTACAAAAATAATCACAGAAAAATCTGTACGAATTTTTTCGTGATTTGTGTTATAATTGCCATTTCCTATCGCATCATTATTTTAAGTACTTGCTTATACACTTTGACATTTGAAAAGATGCATATTTGCATAAATACGTGTATTTATGAATAGTGGAACTAACTTTCTCTATGAACAATAGTGCTATTTTATCCTTAGACACAAACTGGTATAACTAGAAAGTTTTTAGCACACTGTCACACTGTTGCTATGTGTTGCAGTTTTCGTTAGTAATATTTTAGTAGTGTATAGGAAAATATAATTTAATTCATCGAAAATAAGATATGATGTGTTACTACTTAAAAACTCAATTTTTGTAATGCATAAGCAGATGTTTATTAGATATATTCCCTTATAAGTCAGTATAACCAGCTCACAATCTGCTCACAAAAACAGTAAGCTTATTGGTACCTACTTAAACCAAAGCTACTCTTTCAATAAAGTAGTTATCAAAAACATTTTCTTATATGTAAACTAGTCACTTCACAAACACATTAAAAGTGCATACCTAAATGTATTATTTATGTAATTGTTTATGACATAACTGTTATTGTTTATTTATTGAAGTAGGTAGTTACAAAGCACATATTTATCCTATATTCCTATTGCATAACTAAGAGAATATCGTTTATTCATAATAATTATCTTTATGCTCACTTAGTGCCTGTAAGGAAAATGTAATTACATCATTATGTCATCATACCTGCAATGCATGAAGGGGTGGGCAGACTGATTGAAAATGAGTAACCATGGAGTTTCTTGCTCGTTCTTTGATATAGGAATCTATACTCTGATATGAGCAAGGCTTCACTAGAGGACTGATCAACAGCCTGACATCTTTTATCTTGCTTAACGTTCAAAAGTGCCTTAAATATATATCAATTTGATGTGGCTGTACAATCAAAACTGTTTCATATCAGTTAGATGTATGTCGATCAACACTCTTCTTTAGTTACCAATCAATTTGAAGTGTAATTTAAGGGGTTCCATGCCTCAGTGACATCACATTTAACAACCTGGCTGCTAATATGATACATTACATCTCACTTTGAGGTCGAGGAACATAGGTGTATGTTCCGGCAAGAAATTTATGTGGTCCATGTGTGTGTCTTTTGGAGTATGCAATGAATGTTATATGTGTACACATCAGTGCATGCATAGATTGGATACTCCACAAGGCATGTTAAATATAATAGAATCTTAAATTCTATGAGTGTTAATGCTGCACGCATCTCCAAACAGATAATGTGGTAAAACAATTTACTGTCCCCAACATGCAACATCTTGAAGTTATTCTAAAACTTGATTATTGTTGTGTTTTAGTCCACAGATTGTTTATATAGCTTTTTAATTAATTTATTCAGCTGTGAGGTGCATAAACAAACTCACCAAGAGTTAAGACTCACAAATAATTTGGATATCAGATCCATTCTGAATCACTAATTAAACCGGATAATATTTTAAGCAAAGCTTAATGGCCTACTTAGTAGGTATTCTGTTTTTAATTTATTTCAACAAAACTGCATGGTCTACTGACTGAATAAGAATAAAAAACGACAGGATGGAACAGTGTTTGAACGTTCTTTGTCTTATTATTGCATATAAGAGCTATTTTTATGAAACAAATCAAACAACACACGGAATACTCAGCTGTGTTTGCGTAGCCTCTCAAAAAATCATGGTGCGTAAAAAATGTTACGCGACCGACTTTGATATAAAATAAATTAAACTCACCAATTATAAATATTGTTTGCTTCCACAAACTCCTTCAGGTCGGTCCTTTGTTTTATAGATTTTATTTTTCGCGGAAAATTAGATCGTTTTCGAAAATTATCGTTTACAAAATACAATTTCATAGAAAAACATCAGAAAAACTCTCTTTAGACACACTCAATAAAACATTTCAGTGTCCACCTGTTTAAAACAATAATTGTTCCAATTTATATCGTTATTTTTCTTTTATAAAACACGAAAATAAACGAAATACACTTGCATCACAAAACGGAACCATGCAACGTCAAAGAAAAGTACTCCGTTTCACGGCTAGCCCGGCTCTTCTCACAATTTATTTTGTTTTACATCACACGCAATGAAAGAAAATTATTATCTGTTGCCGATAACAGAGATAGTGATACACTTCCACATTTGTGAGAAAAAGACAGACATAATAGTGAGAGCGCGCGCTTCAAACCGCGTTGACGCCATTTTGTTTGTTGCCAGAGTAGAAAATGTGCGTTTCAATATACGCATTAGGTTGTAAAGATAGTTTATAAATAAAAACAAAAACAATAATTAATCATAAATGAATAATTAAAATAACAAAAGCTTTTTGACATCAAATTAAAATTACCTGTAACCAACTTTACCAATTAGTTAAAATAATCTTTTCACACGCTTTTTGATATTTTTTGTTTGTTATACGGGGAATGTTTCTTAGTCTCGTCTCTGCTTAATCAGACAAACAGTCTGATACGATATTATATATTAGGTTTTATTCGCATACCAATTGTACCTTCATCTTAACCACACTGCAAACACTGCTTGCAGCAGTTAACCGAGCGCCGCGCGCAATTTCGCATTTTGTTTAATAATTTTTTAAACTTTTGTTGTGTAGAGTAAGTATTTTGTCAATGCAATGTTTTAATAGTATATTCAATTTAATACGGATTCATACGTTACCTATAGAGGTATCAACGACCTGTGCATAGTCAAGTGGCTACCTACCTATTTAATTTCTCTACAGATTATTATGTACCTACCTACATAATTTTAGAACGTATCAAAATACCTACATTTTCTGCAATAGTGAAAAATATTACGTAAAAAATAACATTAGGAAAGCACGTGACTTCAAGGCAGTGGCGGGATTCTGTATGTGTGTGTGTCCATGTCCATAAAAGTCAATCGTACGTGAGTTAGCGACCGTCGCCCCTGGCCCCTGCATATCCTGCCCAAAGCCCACTACCTGCCACCGAAACTAAGAGAACTGGGATTGAATGCCTCGGGACGCAATAAACAATATGAGATTTTTACTCCATTTACTTAATTAATTTGTTAAGAAAGTTCTGGAATATTCTCGCGGCACAAGTATGAAACTGACACTCACTTGTAGATAATAAGGTAGATAAATATTTACATTTAAGTATTTAGACCAATATGTCCACCTTCAAGTTACATATTACAAACACGGCACACATCAATGGACCGGCCTCTGTCGTCTCAGCATGATGATAACACAGAATTCATCTAAACATCCTGATGAATCGTGTCAAAATATAAACTTATTATTTTGTAAATTATAACTTAGTTTTTTATGCACGAGGATGCGAGTTCAAAACCTACAAACAGCAAGTGACTTTTTTCGAGTTATATGTACTTTCTATGATTATAATTATTTAGACATCACTGGCAAACGGTGAAGGAAAACATTGTGAGGAAACCTGGACTTATACATACATAATATCACGCCTTTTATCCCCGAAGGGGTTGGCAGAGGTGCACATTATACCCCTGTACAATGTAACACCCACTTTTCACTATTTATGTTATGAGTCCCATGTAATAGGGGGTGAGCCTATTGCCATATACCGGGCACAATTCCAGACTCCGTGCTACTACTGAGAATTATTTAAAAACCCAGTAATACTTTGCCCGACCCGGGAATCGAACCCGAGACCCCTAGCCCGGCAGTCGCACTTGCGACCAGTCGGCCAACGAGGCAGTCAGTCAAACCTTCTCCGTGTGAGAAAGAGGCCTTTGGTAAGCACTGGCAACTTATAAGTTATTTATGTGAAATTGAAGCTGTCTAAGTTCTACTGTACTTTCATACTGGTTTATAAGTTCAGAGATAACACATACTCTGGGAGTGTGATCTCTGACAGTATGAACGTAACACTATCTATACTAATATTATAAAGAGGAAAGATTTGTATTTTTGTATTTTTGTATTTTTGTATGTTTGTAATGAATAAACTCAAAAACTACTGGACCGATTGCAATAATTTTTTCACCATTAGAAAGCTGCATTATTCAGAAGTAACATAGGCTATATAATATCACGCTAGGTCCTATAGTTGTGGAGCAGTAACCAAAAATGTTTTAAAAACGGGGGAAAAGTATCGTTTCTGAGGCCTTCCGTGGCGTGCGCTGAGCATATAGTTAAAGTTATACAAAAATGCTCTATAGATGAATTGTTCATAAATAAATGAAATAAGTAAATGAAGTCCGGAAAAATATCTTCAAAAGGTAAATACTTCCTAAATAAAAAAAACTGAGAATAAATATAAATAAAACGTAAAACTATGTAAAAAATCTTAAGTCCCCCCGTGCGAAGCCGGGACGGGCCGCTAGTGTTAAATAATTTAATTGTTTCGTCAGGTGTAGCTTACGGACCTTGTGGAATCTAGAACAAATTTTCGTGCGTTTAGGCGCTTTTGCCATAACTATTATAGCAAGTATAACAGCTCACATACTTAGATTTTAGTCAAATTTCCGTGGTGCTTGGCGACTGGGCTTTACCCAGTTGCACAGTCCCTTTTTTGTGCCTTTAGGCTTAATTCTATATGTCTCCTGCAGTAATTCACCGAGGGAAGTAGAAACTATCGTTGCGGGAACCAAGACAGTTATTCATGTCCCTGGGACGCGCCAGACTTCAGTGTTCCGGGGTTTTCGTGGTTGTATCTACTGTAGATCCTGGCTTACAGGAGTTGCAGCGGTTTTGGGAGGTGGTGGCAGGTTTGTCCCAATAAAGTTCGTAGATAACAAAATTGTATGGTCAAGCAAGGAGACTCGGGTCCATATCTGGAATAGGTAGATAGATAATTTAAGTAGTTGTACGTAACGTAACGTAGTTGTGTAGTTACACAACTAGCAACGGTTTTTTTAAATATAAAAAGATTTAGGTGAAAAATTCTCATCAAAACAAATTAATACAGCCCAAACACGAAGTAGCTAGTGTCAGCCATTGAGGAGTTCCTTCAGCTATCATATTCCTTCATCATCAGGCCCTTAATGACAATCACACCCCATTTAGGTGAAAAGTTCTCATCACTACAAATTAATCAAGCCCAAACATCAGGTAGCTACTGCTAATCATTGAGGAGTTCCGTTAGCTATCATACTACTTCAGCATCAGGCACATCCCATCTAGATGTAAAGATCTTCTCAATACAAATAATTTACTAATTTAAGCCCAAGCATGATTTGTAAACAATGAACCCATGCTTACAAATCATCGAGGAGTTCTCTCGACTGTCTCTTGACTCCATCATCAGATCAACTCCATACCTTCATTAAATTGTAGTAGTTTTATATACCATATAAAAAAATAACAAACCACTACAATTTTGAAAAGTTCTCCTCGGTTTCCATGGTTACTCATCATAGTCATCATCAGATCCTGATCTGGTGTAAATGGGACCACCTCGAGAGTATGGCCCTTCCAACAAAAAAAGAATCATCAAAATCCGCTCAAACGCCGGAAAAATTGGGTACCTAGCATACACACCCATAAAACATGCAGCCGAATTGATAACCTCCTCTTTTTGGGAAGTCGGTTAAAAAATAAACATACTTACCAAATAAAAGGTCTTTACCCTATGAAATTGCCATTCTGCAGTACTGACTCTGAGTGAGCGGGGGAGCCCAAGCGCAGAGCTTGTCGCATAACATCTGTGCTGGTTCTAAGCTATCTCCACACCAATTTTCAACCAAATCGATTTAGCCGTTCTTGAGTTATAAATAGTGTAACTAACACGACTTTCTTTTATATATATATCTATAACATGGACCCTTCATGGACCTATTTACCAGTAAACTATTCAAATTCAGGTTAATTTTATTACATGGGGATGGAACTCATAAACTTTTCATTTTATTCAACATTTCTCTGTAAAGCATGATTATGTGATTGATTATATTATTACGCAATGTTTATTTCTTTGTTGAAAACAAGTATCTACTTGCTTAAATGGGAGCGTGCCGAGCTCATTAATCAGTAGGTAATTGATCATTAGATCCTAATTCAAATATTTATACTGAATCTACAAATTGCTTATACAATATGTATCGCCTAGTTCCATTGGCGCCTCCGTAATATAGGTAATATGGATGTACTTTTATAAATTGACAAGTCATTTATTACTTAATTAGAGACTAACTCATTAGTAAATAAGGTCTTTGCCTTTGTTAGTCTCAATCATTCTACTCGTATAGGTACCAAATATGTTGGCTGACTGTATCAGTCTAATAACACTACTCAACAAATTTTCAACTTTTGATTTTATCTGAGGTCGCATTATGTGATTACTATTTCTTGCCACTAAAGTTATAAAAATATGCAAATATACACACACCATCACATCTCAGAGTCCAGATAAACATCCATGTCCGAAATCACGAATTTTCCATAATTTTATTGTAATTTTAATTGAAATGGCGTAGTTTTTTTGGAGTAGCTGGCTTTTCTCTTATAATCAGTAGTAGGGGTCTCTAATAAGGCTCCAACAGTAATCCGCGAGCATAGCAGGCTCCCATCTGCCTTGAAATCGCTTTTCAAATGCAGCAACATCTTGGTGAAAGCGTTCGCCATGTTCGTCACTGACGCATCCCATATTTTCAGGGAAAAAGTCCAAATGCGAGTGGAGAAAATGCAACTTAAGTGACATATTGCATCCCATTTTATAGTAGTAGTCCAATAAAACTTTTATTTTTTCGCGAAAATCTTCAGATTTCTTGTTACCAAGGAAATTGTTAGTGACATCGACAAAAGCCTTCCATGTTTGTTTTTCAATATTATTGAGAGCAGATATAAAAGATGGATCTTGAATCAGCTTTTTTATGTCTGGACCTACGAAAACACCCTCTTTAATTTTCGCGTCACTCAGCTTAGGAAACTTACGATTTCGGCGTAAACTCGCCACAAATATAGCAAAATAAGTCAGGACTGTTAACACACACTCGCTGCATTTTAGAAGTCAGTTAATATACTAACAATTGCACTATGTTCCATTTGCAAAAGTAATAAGTTTCCGGACTACCCGCATTTTAACTTTTGTAGGTAGGTAAAAAAATAAAAAAATATTTATCCCTATAACCAGATGTGATATCGAAATAAAATGCATACAGTATTTTTATAGTGGTCAAGCTTATTATGAAATAATATGAATTGGGTCAGATATTTTTTAAGTGTTGAGTAGTGTAACATCAGTATCACATAAACTTATTCTATATATGACAGTTTGTATGTTTTTTTGCTCATGCCAAAACGGCTGACGGGATCGAGATGAAACTTAAAACAGGGGTGGATTATGGTCTGGAATAACATATAGGCTACTTTTTATTCGAAGGGAACGCGGGGAAACCGCGGGCAGAAGCTAGTAATACTATTTCCGTATTAACTCGTCGAGTACCGTCATTATAGACACAATTATAGAACAATATGTTGCGGTCACCGGTGACCGCTTGGTGTTTGACAGTTTAATAATCAACAAAATAACAAGTTCTAATAACAAGTTCATTAGCAAAAAAACAACCTGAAAAAATAATATAATTTATGTTGGAAAACTGCACGGTAGTCGCGGTGGTTGGGCAACTGGCTGCCGCGCAACGTGTCGCGGGTTCAATTCCCGCACGGAACAACTCTTTGAGTGATCCACAGATTGTTGTTCCGGGTCTGGGTGTCATGTGAATGTGAACTTGTATGTTTGTAAACGCATCTACGATACAAGAGAAAATCCTAGAGTGGGACAACGTTTTTAAAAAAAGAAAAAATAAAGCCTGCTCAAACTCAAACTCAAAAGCATTTATTTCAATTAAACCATAATTTGGTACTTTTGAAACGTCAACAAATATAAAATAAATAAAAGATCTGTCCGTCAGTGAAGCTAGGCGCTCGCTCCAAAATGTAGATTCGAGTGGAGAAGAACGAGCAAGAAATTCCATTCGTTACTCTTTTAAAAAAAACCTACCTAACAACCTTTATATTACCGTAACGTTAATTAAGATGATGTTAAATACAAAATAAAGCTTGCAATTTCAGTTTCACAGAACATAACAGTTCAACCTCATGACCTCTTTTTACGAAGTCGGTTAGTCAACGTCCCGCAGCATTCGGGCGGGTCAACAATCTTGAGATGCAGGGAGAAAGCTCGGACGAAAAGATGTCAGATGCTGGCGCGTTGCCACGATTTATCCGATGAAAACCTAAGTAGTAGATAATAGATGTTATTCGGTAAAAAATAGGAACTTTGACATGATTTATAGCCGCGCCCATCAATTTTTCGCCAATTATAATTTTGATAACAGATTTCACTTGAATCATCATCACATAGACGTACCATTGTATAATACGGTAAGTATTTTATGTAGTAGTCTATGTACGTATATGTCAAATGTCTATTCGAAGACCGAACTCCGACGTCCAAAAACAGCCAGCAACGCTCTTGCAAGTTCTCTGTAGTTGCAAGTGTCCATAGATGGCGCTGATCACTTACCATCAGGTGATCCGTACATACATAACATCACGCCTTTTTATCCCCGAAGGGGTAGGCAGAGGTGCACATTTCGGCACCTAATGCCACTGTAAAATGTAACACCCACTTTTCACTATTTATGTTATAAGTCCTATGTAATAGGGGGTGAGCCTATTCCCATATACCGGGCACATTTCCAGACTCCGTGCTAATACTGAGACTTTAAAAACCCAGTAATACTTTGCCCGACCCGGGAATCGAACCCGAGACCCCTTGCCCGGCAGTCGCACTTGCGACCACTCGGCCAACGAGGCAGTCATCCGTCTACTCATTTATACTTATACCTACCATTAAAACAACTTATGCCGTTTGTGACTGAAATGTAACCTATTGTGTATGCCTATGCAGTCACATTTATTTATTTATTTATTTATTTATTTATTTATAATTCATGGAGGACTTACAGCATATAAAAATGAATAAAAATAACAATAGGCGTAGGTAACAGTGAGCCAATAACAAGTCCTCACGTTTAACATTTGAAATAAATTAATTAATATGGTGTGAGTACTATACAATATTAAAAATACATACATTCTGCGTAAATGGAAAAAAATAAATATTGAAACAGACCGTACAGACAATATGATTATGAACAGATCAAGAGAAACGATAAAAAAAACTAAAGATCTAGTGCTGCTTAAAAAATTTAAGGCTTAAGCACCTCTTTGCCGAGTTCACACTAGTTGTAAACGGATCGAAGTCATATTCCTTACAAACATTGTTAAAGTGTCTGCTAGCACGCATAATGTTACTGTTCTGCCTGTAGTTAGATGAGGAACGGGATACGTGTAAAGGTGGATTAAATCTAAATATTTTATTAGGTACATTAAATTTGATTTTAGATAATAGTTCTGGACTATCCACATTGCCGTTAAGAACCATATTGCGTCTATCTACCAATGGTAATAGATGGAATTTTCTAACCTATATATAATATGTAACCTATGTATGTATACCTACAGGGTGTTTTGTAATTCGAGCATAATCTCGTATTATGTGATAAAACAGATCAATTCCAACATTTTTGTCAAACAAAAGGATAGGCGGAATTGAACGGTTATTAATTTAACTTTTAGTGTTAGGTAAATTCATAATGACGCCCACGGTAACCCTAAAACTGAAAAAACAATAAAGAAACGCTCTTGACCTACATTTCTTTTTTCAATTATCTTACTTTAGTAGTATATTTACCAGTTCTAATCGTCAAATACACAAGATTAGACACAAATTCATAGAATATTAGAATTGTTTTTTCAAGTCATCGAATTACAAATCACCTGTATATGTAGGTGTGTGTCACCGGAAAATAACGAGATCCGTAAGTTTATATATTGTCTAGGAAAATTGTAAACTTCTGTAGAATTCTAAGCGAGACATAAATTTACCAGGTAGCTCCCTCTGTTCAAATAAATTATCGGATTATGATTACCTTCTTTAATTTTTCTGAAGATTCTACCAACCTTCGCTTTACTTAAAATAAAAATAGGAAGTTTCTATTAATTTTTTCAGTGTCAAAGTCAATGACAAAATCAAAATCATTTATAGAACAGGAAGGCACTTTTGAACGTCTCAATAATACAATTAAAGTTAAATAGAACGAGCAAGAAACTCCATAGGTTACTCTTTTTCAATCAGGTTCACAATACAATTATTTTTAGTGACACAGTTTTCTTGGTTCAATTTTGCTTACGTAGGGGCCCCCAGCCCCTGTAGGTAGTCCGGGGTACCTGTTTATTTGATACGGTAGATACGGCGCCAGCTACACCCCGGAATAGTACGCTTCTTTAGTAAAAATAACATAAAAAAATAAAAAAAATAGGAAAACAATACACTACTTTCTGATTGATTGATGTTGTCCGTTGCTCTCTGATTGGTCGATGACAATACAATATCTCTTGTTTAGAATACCAGGGATGTTTATAATTTTTACATAACATAACATCACACCTTTTATCCCCGAAGGGGTAGGCAGAGGTGCACATTACGGCACTTAATGCCACTGTGTAATATAACACCCACTTTTCACTATTTATGTTATGACTCCCACGTAATTAATAAGGGTGGGCCATTGCCATATACCGGGCACATTTCCAGAGTCCGTGCTACTACAGAGAACCCAGCGATTCGTTCGTTTTCCGACCCGGGAATCGAACCCGAGACCCCTTGCCCGGCAGTCACACTTGCGACCACTCGGCCAATGAGGCAGTTAGTCAATTTATAATGTTTCTAGTTTATTATTTTCCAGTGGCATATACCTACATATATGCACTTATCTTCTTCCGTTCAGTAACGAACAAACATTATTATTTAACACAAAGATTACATATCCCGTAATAGTATACACCCCGTAATCAGTTGTTTTTCTTGCAGTCCCAATTAATGTATTTATTAAAATACGTCCCTACTTCGTTATATGCAATTAATAGTGTTATTGTATAGGTAATAATTGATTAAAGTTATGTATTATCAATTTATGTATGTGTAATATTAATCAATACACGTACTATAAACATCTTTTTAATATCCTGTTTTTGAGCTACGGAACACAGACACCAAATTTTTTATTAAAATATATATTTGATGAGCCGACGTTTGACCTCTATCTCGCCTGGTATTTAGCGATGATGCAGCCTACGATGGACTAATTAGGACTGTCTTGGTATTTACTTCTCAAAACTTATGTTACGGACTTCCGTATAGGTAGACAAACAATAAGTACTTACAAATATAATTGACAATACTTTAGACACGTTATGTATGTACATAAGTACCTAAATATGTCCTTAAATATTGTGATATTAGTTGTTCATAGTTTTTGGTCAAAGGTCATGCAAATATATCCTCAAATGGCGACCTGCTAATTCTTGGTATGTTTACCCATGTATTTGGAAGTAGCTGTTTTAAATCACATTGTTGTATATAGTTCCTATATTGATGTAGTGTTTAGCATGACGCTTCCGTAAGTAAAATGCTATATTCGCCTTGATCTGTGATTATGTGTCTTATGACCCGAGGAACGTAATATTATCATTAATTTATTTTTAAGTAATAAAGAAGTTTTTGTTATAAATATCGTAAGACTCACTAAATTAACTAAAAATCGCGGGTTACACACGTGAATGTACTGAGAGAAGCTCTACTAGTTTCGAACGACAGAGGGGTTCTTCCTCATGAGCAGCGTGCGCGGTCGCGGCGATGTCGCGCAGCCTACTAGTAGAGCTTTTCTCAGTATATTCACGTGAATAACCCGCGATTTTTAGTTGATTTAATAAAAAAGTTTTTGATTCATTATTTTCTTTGAAGTAATGTATAGTACTGCGGTTGGTCCACGACAAAGCCAAATGAAAAATTGAAAATTGATCATGTCATAAATGAAATCAAACAAAATACATAAAAAATAACACAAATTTATTCACATAGACTTTAAAAAAACAACAAACATAAATGGACTAGACACTTTTTAGCACAATTTTAATAGATACAGAACAAAAATAATATTTACAAATCAAAGTATTTTATAATTTAGAAAATTCGTTGACCTTAACACTAATCTTTATTTTGGAAGAACTAATATTTCTTAGTACTTGTAGCAATGGATACATTTTAGTACCAAGTCATTATAATACCAACTAAAAAAATATTGGCCACACTTTTCTAATTTTAATCCGATTGTTCTAACATCAATATATTCCTGTAGATCATGAACAATTACTCCATGCTGTAGTCTAAGTACAAAAACGTTCTAAAGCTTGTTTTGAGCAAATAAAATACAGTTTTATACTTAATGATTGCACGAAATATAACTAGCCTACCTAAATATGTCACTACTGTTTGAAATTTAACGTCCAAATACTCAAACGCTACTCAATTTTAAGTCGCGCTTAATAAATAAAGTTCTGTCACTAGAAATTCTTTGTAAAATGACATAGATGGCACTATATTTAAGTACAACTTAAAATGAGTAGCCATTCAGTATTCGGCCGTAAATCTCACATGCCTATCCTGTTTCTGTAATATCCGTCTTTGAATTCCTGTCATGACAAATCTACTTCGGTGGAAATCTATCGATTTATTTTGTCAAAATATCATCATGAAGTCATAATTATATTTAACTGTCTCATCAAGTTTATCATTAAACCCTTCTTTCTATCGTTCATTCGAATTCCATTCCTTAAATACCTATAACATAATCTTATCACTAACTAATGACTATGAAGACTTCTTCTCAGCCTGCAGCGGTAGTGTCTCATCATCGTAGTTGACAATGCTTACGAGTTCAGGTTCAGCGCCCTTCTTCTCGTTCGGATCTTCATGACCAGCTACTTCTTTCTTCGCCAGCTCATTAGCCAGACGAGTGAATAGTTCCCTGTAAATAGATCAAAATTAGTACTTGTTTTAACACGCCATTTTCCTGTCATGTTAGATTAACATCATAATGTTCCATAGCTAACAGAGTTTTTATCTACAAATGCTAGTTTAGTGTCAAGCTTTCTGCTGACCTTTCTACGACTATTTTAAGGGTTGACGCTGGTCCGTCAGTATTTAACGTGGAGGACTGTCATCTGTTCTGAGGTAATTTACTTTAACAGCCGTTTAATAAGCTACTAATACTAACTAATACAGAGAAAAATGCGTCTAGTTTCCTATTATTAAATCAGAGAATGTAAAGTATAAAATTACGTCACTTACTTGAACACAGCGCCTTGCATGTTCTTAGCGAGGTAGTAGAGGAATAGCCAGTCAGCAAACTGGCAGCCGTTGACGATGTGGATGACGTTCATGGGGTCAAACTTGGCTGAAGTGACTCTTTGGAACATCATCATGTTGAACTTCGGGGACCGACGGTACAGGAAGAACGACGCGACGCGCCATATCACAGCTGAAATGATTTAGTCGGTAAATTACAAAAATTCATGTTCTAACCGCCGATTTTTCCAAAGATAAATGACAACAGAGAAATTACTTTGAGTATTTAACAATTCTTCCACACATATAATAAAAACCGCCAAATGTGAAATTTAGTCTACTGTTAAAATTAACTGATGACTGAATAATAGGCCCTAAATCGTTCCTTAAAATAAATAAAAGATCATCTACAAAAAATTTAACTTTAAAGAATACATCATGAAAAATGAATAACATCAAATACAAATAAGTTTTAATCCTTACCAATAACGGAGACGATGAAGAGGAACAGCAGCCAGAACCAGAGGACGGCGTAGATCTTCTCGTGGATGATGTTCAGCGCCATCACACAGAGCGCGTCGTGCTGCTGGATAGAACCGCTCGGACCGTACTTGTGGAAGATGCACTTTGTCACCTGGTGACGAGGAAATATACCTAATAAAAACCTTGTAATTTTCTTAAAACATCTTGACACAAATATTAAGGGCCAAATAAAATTACTTCCATTATCTGCTATTTTGAATTTATCTTATAAGATGGCAGAGTAGACTTAGGTCAGATTCGAAGTGAAATGCCTTGTGCAGAACATTTATGTTTCTTACTTCATGACTAACGAAAATAATTCCCAACGCTAAGTACGTACTTGAGTCATTTTAATTTTAATGTAAAATGCTATAAAACTACTGCACTAACTATATAATGTTTACCTTGGGGAACACAGTCTCGAGTGGGTCAGCAATGTTTTGCCATTCACTCAAATTAAGCACTCTGGGGCCCAAGCTAATGAAGCCTCCATTGAGGAACCTGTTGATGATCCAGATCTCGAAAATGACGTGCAGTAAGTTCGCCACTTCCATGGCTACCAGCCACACTGACCATGTGCGAGTAATGCGCAACCTAAAACAATACAATGATTTAAGAAACTTTTAGACTATTCTTTATCCATAGTCAGACCTTTATTAGCTTGACTATGAAGGCTTACATCAATGTATATGAACAAAAGTAAATTGAAATTGACTGATTATATCTAAAAGACTAGAGTCTGAAATTATATCTCATTACTCATATAGGCATTGCATTTAAGTATAATAACAGATTAAAACTGGATATGCTGTGAGATTGCTTTCGTTTATTTATAGTGGTAATGTTTCATCATATTCCACATTTTCTATTTCGTGTTCTTCCTTGTCTAATGCGTTTTAAGACACTTACCTCAATCTAATATCTTTAAGGATGATGTCGATACGCTTGCTAAGCGTTTCTTCAGAAGGTAGGTCCATGTTTCCAACCTTCATGTCTTCTTTGATCAGTGCGAGGCTTGCGTACTGCAGGCCGTCTACTAATGCTTTTATTCTACCACCTGGGTGAAGACATAACAAAACAAGTCTTTATCACAGTCTCAAAATAATTAGTTACTTTAAGCCATACATTTATACAGATAAATAAAATTGGAATGTCTGTTTGTGTTATACTAAAATAACCGCTTTTTACTACATGCACAATTGCACACATACGATACACATATCAAAATATTTTATTTACAACTTTTGTTTGTCTTGGCTAATCTCTGGAATGGCAGGACCGATATTGCAAGACTATTATTGACAGGTAGCTGATTAAAAAGTACATAGGCAACTTTTATTTAAAAAAATTGAAACATAATATTGTGCATCTACCACCCATTCCCAGATTCTTTTCAAAAATTCCATCCAAAGGTTGTCTGGAAGAAATCGCCGCGTGTGATAAGACCGCCCATTGTACTCAAATTACTATTGCAATGTTTACAATTTTTTTCTGTGTGCGTGTAGGATCAGGGTCCGACATTATTTGAAAATAAAACAAAGAGCTTCACACAATCACTTAGTTTATTTCGATTAAATGAACTTACTTTCACATTAATTTTTAATTATAATAATTGAATAATTCAGCACTGATTATATAAAGGAAACACTCAAATAAAACCAACAATAAAATTACTCAGCGATTGCGTAACGTGTGAACTGGGCAACGATCGACGAACGACTGACTCGAGCTTGCGCTTGCGCTGCTTTATATATCACTCGGTGGTGGGGTTGAAGTGACGTCGGTCAGTTGTTTGTTCACTGCTCGCCCATTACATTCGCAGTTTACAAAATAATGACGGCGGCGCCGACACGGCCATACTGACGTACGCTCGTCCTCGAGCGTTTTCCGAGCATCTGGGAATAAGATAACAACCCGTTCGATCATCCTGGCATTTCTAATCTCTATCTAGTATAACCTTTAACAAAAGCTTTCAATATTGTGCGGGTTCGGTTAACCCTTCAGCTTACCACAACTACTACGTTATCATCACTCATCAGTATTAGAACTGGAGACGATTGTGCTAGGCCGGATAAATATCCCTTTAGCGCATGCTAGACTGGACATCAGTCCCTTTAGCGAATGCTAGACTGGACATCAGTCCCTTTAGCGAATGCTAGACTGGACATCAGTCCCTTTAGCGAATTCTAGACTGGACATCAGTCCCTTTAGCG